TCAGATCAGCGCAGTGTGCCAGCCGTAGAGGCCTTTTGTGATATGAACCAGTGGAAAGGAAGGCCTTTCTCTGTCTCTGTCTAACTCTGCCTGTCCCCCCCAAAAAAAAAAAAAAAAAAAAGGATTCCCCCAAGTGTTGGTTATTAGTTAGATCAAGGTGGTTGGTGAAATTGGTTGGTATAGTATAGCGCTGTGTGCGCGTGCGTGCGTGTGTTTGTTTGCAGCCTAACTGTCCAAGGAATTACTGAGGTTACCTGGATTGGAGATGTGTTAATTTCTTTTAAATCTCTGGTTTTGCGTCATATATTTTCTTTCTTTTTAAAATTTTTTTTTTTAAACAGGCAGAGTGGACAGTGAGAGAGAGAGAGAGAGAGAAAGGTCTTCCTTTTTTCCGTTGGTTCACCCCTCAATGGCCGCTGTGGCCGGCCCACTACGGCCGGTGCACCACGCTGATCCGAAGCCAGGAGCCTGGTGCTTCTCCTATTCTCCCATGCGGGCGCAGGGCCCAACGTCATATATTTTCTTTTTTTCCCTTTTTTTTTTTTTTGACAGGCAGAGTGGACAGTGAGAGAGAGACGGAGAGAAAGGTCTTCCTTTGCTGTTGGTTCACCCTCCAATGGCCGCTGCAGCCGGCGCGCTGTGGCCGGGCGCATCGCGCTGATCCGAAGCCAGGAGCCAGGTACTTATCCTGGTCTCCCATGCAGGTGCAGGGCCCAAGCACTTGGGCCACCCTCCACTGCACTCCCTGGCCACAGCAGAGAGCTGGCCTGGAAGAGGGGCAACCGGGACAGAATCCGGCGCCCCGACCGGGACTAGAACCCGGTGTGCCGGCGCCGCTAGGTGGAGGATTAGCCTATTGAGCCACGGCGCCGGCCTCTCTTCATTCTTAAGAACTTACTCTGACATGTCTTCTGTGCAGAGTCTACTAGAAACAAATCCCTTTAGTTTTGGTTTACTTGAACATGGTGGGCTATTTTGTCTGTCTTCTTTTAGGAAAGATGTTTTAGTTGGTATACACTGCAATTGCGGGATTCCCCGCATTCCTTTTCATTTCATTAAAGATCTACTGCATTGCCTCTGATGAGAAATCCTTCACTTTCGCCTGCCACTAGTGTGGTGGGTTGTCGCTCTGGCTGCCACCAGAGGTCGGCAGTGCAGGCAGGAGCTGGTTCAGTGCCTGCTGTGTTAGAGAGGGCGAGTGCGGTTCTGATTGACACAGGGGTGACTGGGCACTAAGGGCAAATGCGGGAGCAGGGTGCAGGCTAGAGCGGTGCTCAGGTGGTCGGAAAAGTGGAAAAGGCTTAGTCACTGGCACTGGAGTTTATTGAAGTTAGACTTCTACTCCTCCCACAGACTGGGAGATAGAGGCCTCTTTTTTCCCTGAATTTTGAAGGAATGACTTTCAGGTTTTTGATCTAAAGATTCTCCTGATTTTAGAGGAGATACATATATGAGGATACTTCAGGAAGCTTGTGGCATTTTGAAGACCCCTGTTACAACTCAAAAAATGGATATACAGTTAGAAGCTTTGAGAGGTCAGGGGCCTTGTCATCACTTGTAGAACAACTGGTATATTGTCTTGACAGCCTTGAGCTTTCCAGATAGGAGTTCCCAGGGAACCAAGATGGTCTCTGGGGTGCTGCCTGAAGCCCTGCTGAAGTTTGGGCAGGTCTCTTAGTGGAGGTGTTTGGAAGGAGTTGTTCGTGCCTGGAGGTTTTGTGTTTCTCAGTGCTTAAACAAATTTCTTTTTGTCTGTGTTAGTTTGACAATGATGCGCCTAAATGGGATTTTCTCTACTTGTAGTGTGGTTAAACTCATTGTCGTTAACTGAACTTCTTGGATCTGTAAGTTTAGTTGAAAATATTTCAGCCATCATTATTTCCATTTTTATTTTTTTTTTATTTTTATTTTTTGCTGGTCTGCCTTCTGCTTCTCTTGCTGGGACTGCACATGTTTGTGTGACTGTTCATTTTGTCACTCAGTCTTTAATTTCAGTTCTTCCAATGAGGTAATTTCTGCTAACCCATCTTCAAATCTGTCTTCTCCAACCATCAGGTTAAGTTTTATAAATTTCTGATTTTGTAAATTTAGTTCTATAATTTGATTTGTTTTTATAGTTTCTGTTACTCAGCTAAAATTCTCCATCTGTTCATTAAGTCCTCGAACATGTTCATAATAGTTACTCTCAAATCCTAGTCCTCTATTTCCTTTTGGGGTCTGTTACTGTTAGTTTTCTTGGTTTTGTTTTGACTAGGGGTGACATCTTCCCGTTTCTTCACGTGGTTAGTGAGTCTGGGTTGTATATTGAATATTCAGAATTAAGCATTGTGGAGCTTCTGAATGTGTTGTGTTCCTCCCAGGCTGTTGGTCCTTGTTCTGGCAGGTAGTTTTGGGTGGCCTCAATCCAGCCGCTTCTCCGTTTCTTCCACTTTGAGGGGCTGGTGCGTAGCAGGGCCTCAACAGTCTCTGCATGTGTCGTTTAGGCCTTAGTCAAGGAGGTGGGTGGACCATGTGGGAGACTAGGAAGAAGCTCCTGGCTTCCAGCTTCAGCCTGGTCCTTCCCTGGCTGTTGCTGCCATCTGGGGAGTGACCCAGCAGATGGAGGGTCGTTCTCTCTCTCTCTCTCTCTCCCTCTGTAACTGACTTTCAAATTAATTAATTAATTAACAACAACAAAAAAAAGGTGAATGGGATTCAGAGTTGTATTTTGCTTTTTTTAAACATTTTTTTCCTGTTTTGCGGCTTCCTTCTTGGCAGGACCTCTTCCTTCCTTCGCAGCTTCTCCAGCAGCCCCAGCTCGTGCTCTTACTCTAGGTCAGTGGAAGTGCAGTTTTCTGCCAGAGCTGGACTTGCCCTGCCTGAGACTGGAGAGCACCCGGGCACCCAGCCTGGGGAGCACAGCAGCCCTTCAGCGCGGTTCCCTCTTGAACTGTTTCAGTCTGGTTTTGGCCTGTTTTCAGATATTAGTGATTCTAATCACTAACTAGGTTGTCACTGTTATCTGAAGGAAAGTTAGGAGGTTCCTGGAAGCAGAACTCTGTTCTGTTTTGTGTGTGCATTCTTTAGCTGACTGCATGCTGTTCTAATTACTGAGAATGTATAATGTGTTTCAGAATCTGGTAGGGCCAGTCTCTTTTTGTCAGGCTTTGCTGGTCGTATTATTTTGCTGTGTTATATGCGGAATAGTCTTGTCTGAATCTTTAAAAAGATGTTGTCCTTTTTATTGAGACTGCATAAAATGTATAAATTTGGTAGAGATGGTATCTCTGGTATTGTCATTCTGTCTGTGGACATGGATGTTTTTCTCTGATCAGAGTCCTTTTTAATTTTCAAGTGTGTGTTTAGTTTTGAGACACTTTATATTCTAGATACTTTGTGTTTGGGTTCCTTTAAAAGTATTTTTCATATATAAGCAAGGATTTGACTAGCTAGAAGCAACTTTACTATTTGTAAATAATCCTTCCAGTTATGTGAGGGGATATGTATAGTGAATGAAAGACTTGAAGTCTGAAGGTGGCCGGGGTGGAACCGGGCCTGGGTCTGGCTGCCTCGGAGCTGCGGCCTCTGAGAGCTCACTTAAAGTAGAACTGACGCTCTTCATGCTGTATTTTTGATTCTGGTTTTTGTGTAACTTGAGGAAGAGCTCTTTCAAGTATTTTAAGAGTAGAATAATGTCTTGATTTACACTTCCGTCAGTTGTTTTCCTTGGATTATTGTCCAAGAAAGAATAATCAGTTGTATACTATCCCTTCCTTAACATATATTCATAAGACTAAAATTTAGGTGATTCTGTTGTACCTTAAACTATACCGTGCTGTGTGTTTCTGGTAGGTGTTTGACAGATGTCTCTTAAATGTCATGGATTTTTAATCAGTATTTTTTTTGGGAAGAAGAAAAGATTGAAGATGTGTTTTTGGAGTTTTTTCTGACTTTTATAGACTACTAAAAGGCAGGCGAATCTCTAAAGTGTCGTGAGGTATTAGGAACATGCTTTTTTCACTTTGCTTTTTAGCTAAAGCTCAGTTACTGTAGCTCCAAAGCAGGGCCTATGACTTTCTTGCAGCCCAGTGGCTGTGCGAAGGACCTGTATGTAGCATGGAAGCCTGACCAGGAGCCCCCAGGATCGTGCTGCTGGCTACAGGAACTCAGCACTTTGACCAGGTAGCCGACAGTGGTGTGCACATTTGGAAGTTAACCAGTTTGATTTATTATCAGAAGGTGTTTTTGATATATTCCATCCTCCATGCATGAAATATTGGCGATTTAGAATAAGTGAGAAATTGAATTAGGTTGGACTAATTTTAAAAGCACACCTTTGGGCCTGAGAGATGTTGGCAGTTAAGAATTCCATTCCAGGACTTCCTCGTAAGCTCTTTCCTTCTCCCGCGGATCATGAGTGACTAAAAAGAAGTGGCAGGGAAAGCAGGGAGAATTTTCTAGGTTGCCCATGTTTTGGAAAGAAGTGTGGGAGAAAAATTTCAAGGTGGTGTGCTATTTTATTACAATAATTTCAAAAATCTTACCTTTTGGAGAGCAATAATAATTTTTAGTAAAACTGAATGTGTAAGTATCACAGCCAAACAGTGTGAAAATCCTCATGTGGAGGTGTGTCTGTTTCAATTAGAATTTTCCTGTATTAAAGATACCAATGAACAAAAATCTGGATTATAAAGTGAGGAACTGTCAATAAGGCTAATGGCATAGGTAACATCTTTTGAGTAGAGGATATTGGGAAGGGCATCATAGTCATGATTTCATTAAGCTAGAGAGCATTTTAAAAACATAACCATAACTTATCTGGAGTCACATGTTCATTTTATTGGCTTCCTTCATATAGAAAATATAGTCACCAGCACTAAATGCCTGTGGAAAAGTGAAGCAGTGTATATTTTCTGGGTGAAGGAAGTGTTCTGTACATTCTCCATGTTTTACATCATGGTATTTTGAATAACCATGCTTCCATGTTCACATCAATTTTTTGTTTTTCAATTTATGCACAGCACTTGCTCTGAAATTTGGGGACTGAGTACACCAAATACGATAGATCAGTGGGATACAACAGGCCTTTACAGCTTCTCTGAACAAACCAGGTGAATATTCTGCCCTCTATGGAATCCTAGCGATCTTGTGGGAGGGGGGTGTTCTGGAAGACCTGTACTGGGTTGCTGAGTGTCATTTTGCCTAGGATGTTTCCTTAATGTAAAAACAAGGCAGAGCATTTAAAACACCTGCTTGCCGTTATGAAAGATATATTAAATGTTTCAGCTGATGTTTTGATCAATGCAATTCTAGTTTTGAATCTTCTTTAAATTATTTTATTCCCTAAATAAGAACTTTGATAAATATATTCTCATTTTAGTTTGAGATTAGGTTATGAACTGTTGTTGGCCCAATTTTTAAGTAGACACATGACCAGTTTTTGCTAAATTTCTTGTTATCATCTAAATCTCATCTTTATACTAATATATAGCTACTTACTGAACCCCTATGTCACAGTTAACAGTAGGCTAACTCATTTTATGTTCTTTTTTAAAGTCGCCTCATTTTCTTTTTGAGTATATTAGTATTTGTTCATTTCATCTCATCACCATCTGCATTTATCTGAATTATGCAAATATGCCTGAGTTATCAGAATAACCACAACTGGGTAATGAGTTACATTAGTCCGAGTGAGTTATCACATCATTGTTGGTATTTATCATTCTTCACACCAGTCCTTTTTTTTGACTGTCCAGTCACCTGCAGAGTGAATGCCCTTAGAAGTATCTCTGAATCCAAGTTTGGCTTAGTAGAAATTGACAAAAAGTTTTTCAAGTACAACTATATGATATTCTTTTTCAAAAATCAATTTTCCCCATGTGGTTAGCTTTGCATTGGCATTTGAGTCATTTATGTAGCATATTTATAAGAAACATCTGCTAGTGCTGCTGTTTACTTTTTTTATCAGAGCCATTAAAGAGTACCTTTTTCCTCCTGATTGTCACTAAAACTAACTAAATGGCTGTCATTTCTTTCTTTGTGCTCTCATTGTACTAATTTAGCCCATATGACTACATCCATTTCTTTTTTTAAAGTTCCCGCCTTTTTCCCCCTTGCTTCCCCACAGGTCTCTTGACGGTCGTCTTCAGGTGTCCCATCGGAAAGGACTGCCGCATGTTATATATTGCCGGTTGTGGCGCTGGCCTGACCTTCACAGCCATCATGAACTCAAGGCAATTGAAAACTGCGAATATGCTTTCAATCTTAAAAAGGATGAAGTATGTGTAAACCCTTACCACTACCAGAGAGTTGAGACACCAGGTAGGACCATGGCAGAGATTTTTTTTTCCCTGGTTTCAAATTAAGTGCCTGGATTTAAGTATATTCAGGTACTCTGGTGACCCAGGGAATTTTTAGCCTGAAATCCTAACAGATTGCCTTAAATTCAGCATATTATTTGGCAGTAGTTAAGGATGCCTTACATGGAAAAACATGACGTGGTGCATCAGTTTGCTGGGAGAGATGGGATTTCATGGCAGAGTCGTGTCCGGCGGTCGCCCCGATGAGCAGTGCCCTGGAGCTGGCCGAGGCTTGCGCAGTAACTGTTCTCCATGTGTTTGCAGAAGTGCTTGGGTGACACCATGTGTACAGGAGCAGTTTAGTGAAGCTCATGGCAGGACTGTTCAGGCAGTTGTGTGCGTGAAACTTTGTTAGACATATAGCTGTCTTCTTAGGAAATTCCCTAAATGGGATTTCATACTTCAAGGCAGATCTTTCCTCAGCCTTTCCAGTGGGGATTTATGAACTTCTGTGGTATTACATTACCCGTCACACTGGCCCCAAAAACATGAGGTAAATTTGAAGTTGGAAATTTCGATGGTGTGCTACATGCTAATACATTAAAAGTCTCAATCAGACTTGTCAGTTTCCCGACTGCTGCTATAATACCAAAAAGATGGATGCTAACTTTGAAAAGGAAGCTTCCTCCCGCCTTCCTCTTTCTTGGTGAAAACTTGATAAAGTCCCCCACACCTTTTACTCTTGGCATTGACTAACATTTCTTTAACTCTTTCAGTTCTGCCTCCAGTATTAGTGCCCCGGCACACGGAGATCTTAACTGAACTTCCACCTCTGGATGACTATACCCACTCCATTCCAGAAAACACTAACTTTCCCGCAGGAATTGAGCCACAGAGTAATTACATCCCAGGTATTGTTGCCCTCTTACTCTTCTAAAACTTGGATACACACACACTTTGTCCATAAATGTTCAAGTATTAGTAAATCGTGAATTTGGGATTTTGAATAGAAAAATTTGATTTTTGGGGTGTCTGTTTTATGAAATATATAAGCCTAGTTCATTAAGGCTTAATGTACATTAATGTTTAGTAAAATATTAAAGTTTTATTTGGAGAAAAGTTTTACCTTATATTTTATTTTCTTTGCAGTGGCTTTAATCAGAGAACAATGGGGAGCAGAAAAGAAAAGCTGTTAGTAAACCTATCTTGGTTGTAAAGCTGAGAGAGATATAGAATGTAAACAAACTAAATGGTACAGGAAAAATATTCCTGATAGAAATGTAACTAAAAACAACCGATTATCTTAGGTAACTTTGGTAATGTTTGAGATGTGGCATTTGATTCTATAGATGTAGCAACACAGTGAAAACCAGAAAACCTGTATTTCAGTTAGGTTTCATCTGGGTCTCAGTAACTCCTTATGAAAAATGAGTTTCAAATTCATGGTCTTCAGATTGCAGTGTAAGTCATATGCTCCAGTAATATTCCACCATGTGGTATTGGACTTTCGGATTTTAATGCTGTTTAGGAGAATAGCTAATGCTTTGTTACTTTTCCTACATGTTTTCTTTTGTTTTTTTCTCTTGCACTACAGAAGTTAGGAAGGACTAGGATGAGGATGAAGCTATGTGCTGGATTTTTAGTGTTTTCCTTCTTTTTTAAGGTTCCTCTGCTCCACTCCTGTTTTTATACAACTGAAAATTTATAGAGAACTTAAGAGTTTCAAGTACACACACAAATAATTCCTCAGTGTGTCCCATCCTGAAAACCATGCTTGTTCATTAAAAAAAGTTTTTAAATAAGGAAAAGATGAGTTTTATTTTATTTTATTTTTAAATAACTGGTTTTACAGATAGGAAGTGATTTCTCACTGTACATTTCTTTGATTACTGTTGTATTCATGAGAGAATCTAAGGCTGCTTCCTTGGATTGCCAGGAAATAGAAGCTTTTAGAGGACTTGGGAGAAAAGGGGAAAGAGGAGTGCCGTGTGATGGGCTAGGATGAGGGAAGGAGGTGGGCTGTGAAACAGGACATTGCCTGGGTGTGGGAGGGCCTAGAAAACTTAGGTGGTTAGCACGCCGTCTTGGTAGACACATCCCCGTGATTATCTGGAAGGATGTTAATAAAAATGCTCAGTGACTTCCACTTGTAAAGATGTTTCAGCTCATTTTCCTTCCATGATTTCTTTAATTATTTAATTAATGGATTTTAGAAAGTTAGAAGTAGTTTATACCTGTTTGCCTTTCTTGATAGTAGTGCTTTATCCAGCTCTAAGTGAAAGAAACCAAAAGATGTAGTTGTAGTCTACCTCAAAAGAAATTTTAGCATTTTCTCTAATATGCTAAAAGCTTCATTATTTATTATCTTACAGATAAATAATAATGAAAATAAGTAGAGAAATACAATGGATAAGCTATTTTAAAGTTCAGCAGCTCTTCCTATTTAGTCCTTTTGAGACATTGGTGGTTAAATTGGCAAAGCTTAGGTATGTTTAATTTTATTAGCTTTAGCCATTAAAGTAGTGCTTAATGATATGTATTCTTACTTTTAAATTCTTTGTTGTTTGAGTATATCCAGATATTTTACTCTTTGATTTTTTAGTATTTAAAATTTGGACATACTGACAGTTAAATGAAAAAAATTTGATACTTAAAAATTTGTGTTAATCATATAGAAATGACACTGTAAAAGGTTAATGAAGGAGACTCTTAACCCACTTTTTCCCTCTCCTCTTTAGATTATTACAAAATTATTTTTAGGAATACGTCTCCATTATCTTTTATTGCTTAAAACAATTTAGCAAATGTAAAATGTGAAACCCTTGAAAGTCTTGAACTTATTTTTCCTTATTGAAATAGCAAATCGTGTAAATGTACTCAGCTATTCATGATGCCTCCTTGAGTGTCAGAAATATGTTGGAAATGACACATTAGAATTTAATCCTTATTTTCAGAGGCTTTACCCCTGTTTTTTGCAGCAGTCTATTTGAGTTGAATTTTTCTCCTTCAGCCTCTTAGAATTTACTAGTTAGAAATTCCTGGAGAAATGTAGTTTTTGGTTAGAATTAACCAAATTAGACCAGTCCTGAACCATTAGCCATATATTGCCTTGTAGAACTTTTTTTTTTTTTTTTTTGGACAGATAGAGTTAGACAGTAAGAGAGACAGAGAGAAAGGGCTTCCTTCCGTTGGTTCACCCCCCAAATGGCCACCACGGCCAGCGCTGCGCCGATCCAAACCCAGGAGCCAGGTGCTTCTTCCTGGTCTCCCATGCGGGTGCAGGGGCCCAAGCACTTGGGCCATCCTCCACTGCCCTCCCGAGCCACAGCAGGGAGCTGGACTGGAAGAGGGGCAAGCGGGACTAGAACCCAGCGCCGACCCCACCTTGTAGATCTTAATATACAACATAAGCCAGTGCTACTTTTGCATTCCAGAGACACAAGTGTCTTTCTCCTTTAATCTTCTCTATATCCATCTATTATATTAGTTTAAAAAAAAGCAAACAACATTATAGGTACTGTTGCCTTCGAAGCCTACTGATTCAGAACTGAGACATCTTTGAAGTTACATTTTTGGATCTTGCCAAATATAGATATGGGTTTATAGCTATGTATCTACATATATATAATCGCACATATAGATACGGGTATGAGCCAGCTCTGTAAATAATGTCTGAGGAAATATGCCCAGAAGTCTGCTGAATTGTATTTAAATACGTTTTAAGGACTTAACCTATGGGATTTAGATCAGAGCCTGAATCCATAAGCCCTCAGTATACAACATTGCTTTTTATAATAATGTCATATAACATTCTTATTTGTTATTTGGAGTGATTCATGGGTTATCCTTGATGCCTGGGAAAAAAAGTAGTGAGAGCACGTTGCAGCCATACCTGACCTCGTCTAAACTTTTGTAGAAACACCACCTCCTGGATATATCAGTGAAGATGGAGAAACAAGTGATCAACAGTTGAACCAAAGTATGGACACAGGTAAAAAATGTCTTTCAGAAGTCCTTGGTAATTAGATACACAGCCAGCCAGCTGCAGATGAGATTACATGTGCAAACTTTACTCATTATCATTTCCTGACAGTGATGTACAGTGTAACAACTATTTACACAGTGTTTACATGGTGCTACATATTATAGGTAATATATAGGTGATTTTAAATTTATAGCAGAAGATACATAAAGTATATGCAGATACTGCAGAAATTTTATATAAATTCTGTATTAGGGAATTGAGCATTGCAGATTTTGGTGTCTTCAAAGAGTCCTAGAACCAGTCCCCTGTGGATACCAAGGATGGCTATGCATTTCTTGCATTTTCTGAAACTCTCAAGAGATATTTCTCTTAAATTTAGAGAAGTTGAGAAATGTACAAAAGAAAAAAAGAAGAATCTTCTGCATTTATGTAACCATATCTGAACTATCAAAGAGGGTGATGCTGTCATTGAAATATTAACATATGCTACTCTGCAGAATAATTGTCAGAATTCTGAAGACACTCATATGCTTTATTTATTTTTAAGTATTCTTAGGCTTGCTTCTGTTTATCAAGTTTTAGTTACTTTATGAATAACTCTTTGTGATGAATGACTAGAATTAGCCCAATACAGATTTTTAGAAGAATTTAGTAGGGGGATGGTGTTCAGCTTTTCAGTGCTCCTTTAATTTAAGTGAGTTATGAATTCTAGCAAATTGTTCACTCATCAAACCTTGTACCTGACCTAAAATGATTAAATTTTGATATTTGGGTATCCACTCCAAACAGTGATGGAGAAAAACTTTGATCATACAAGAAATGCCACATACAACAAAGCTTTTTAAAGTTTTTGTGTTATTTACTTGAAAGGCAGAGTTACAGAGAGGTAAGGGGAGAGACACAGAAAGATCTTTTACCCACTGGTTCACTTCCCAAATGGCTGCAACAGCTGGGGCTGAGCCAGGCCAAAGCCAGGAGCTTTCTCCAGGTCTGCCACGTGGGTGCAGGGGCCCCAAGCTCTTGGGCCATCTTCTACTGCTTTCTCAGGCTCATTAGCAGGGAGCTGGATTGAAAGTGGGGCAGTCAGGACTGGAATCTGTATCCATATGGGATGCTGGTGCTGCAGGTGGCGGCTTAAACAGCTGTGCCAATTTTGACTCTGTCATTCTGCCATCTGTCTTAAGAATTGCATATTTTAATATCACAGTCTGACAAAGTATATGGTCAGCCTTTCTGTACATTTTACATTACCCCATTGTGCAGTTAGAATCATTTAAATTATTTCAAATAGATTACCATTAGGAGGAGGAAGTTTTCCACAATAATTCTTTTGTTTAAATTCTTTCCTTTTTTAGATTCCAGGTTAAAGAAACTCCTGTACCTGATTATACTTACAAGAGCTGTTAGGAGAAGCAGATAATTAAGAAACATGATTATGGGAAATAATATGTTGCATAGCCTGAATGCAAATTGTTTGACTTTCCAAATATGTCTTTCTGACATTCCTGGATGTTAAAGAACTCTGTTCTTGAATCAGCAAAAATGTTCTTTTTTTTTTTTCATTGTGTTGGACAGCTGTTGCTGTGGCTTTTGAAAGTGAATGGCATGAAAAGATGCTAAATACCGTGAACTACAGTGAGATACTACTTCTCGTCTACTAGATGGCTATAATCAAAAAAGAAAAACAGTACTGAGTTTTAGTGAAAATATAGAAAAACTTGAGTCCTCATACGTTGTCAGTAGGAAGTAAAACGATTTAATTGCTTTGGAAAAGTATTGAGTTGCCATATGGCCTAATAGCCTCACTCCTAGGTACATATACCCAAGAGAATTAAAGCTGGGTCCATAAAAAACGTACACAAATGCTTATGCAAGCATTATTCATAATATTGCCAAAATGGAAACAAAGCAACATATCCATAAAATGATGAATGAATGAATAAAATGAGATACAGCCCTACAGCAGACTTTATTCAGCCACATAAATGATAATGAAGTACTACAAATGGGTGAACCTTGGAACTGGAAAGCGTTACTCTAAATAAAAGAAGCCAGACACAAAAGACCACAGTAGTTCCAGTTAGTGTGCAAACACCCATTCAGTGATGGTTAGTTCTAGTTCTGTTTCAACAGAGTGATATCAGTGACTTTTAGAATGACACATTTGAAAGCACTTCCTGTAGTAACTGAATTCTGGTTCATGAGATGGTAGAAGTTGGTTTGATGTCTTTAATCTTTAAAGCCTTGTGGATGTTAGTGCTCAGGCTGAACAGCACATGAAATTTGAAAGTTGGCTTAACTGGTGCCTTTTGTAATTAGTCCCTTTTCAAGTCATGATGATTTCACGAACATACTTGTCCAAACAGTTGTATCAAGAAATAGCATCTGTAGGATGGATCCTCAGATGTGGATTCCATACCCTGTGGTTTAGTCTTTTATCTTCTAAACATACTGTATTTGGTCCAGGCTATATGAAGGTAATTTTTAGAAAAATGGAATTAAAAGATAAGTTTTTTGAGTGAGAAGCGTTTTGGAAATCAAGCATATTTTTTTCATGATATATATTTTCCATGAACCTTTTGAACTCTTTTTATATAAAGATGCAGGCTTATAGGTTTTTGGGATTTTGTTTTTGTTTTAAGATTTATTTCTTTATTCGATAGGCAGAGTGACAGAAGGGCAAAGACACAGAAATTTTCCATCTGCTCATTTGATCCCGAAATGGTCACAACAGCCACGTGTGGGCCAGGCCAAAATCAGAAACCAGGAACTCCATCCATGTCTCCCGTGTGGATCCTAGGGACCCAGACACTAGGGCCATCTGTTGCTGCCTCCCCAGGTGCATTGACAGGAAGCTGGATCAGAAGCAGAGCAGCTGAGATTCAAACTGACACTCTGATGTGGAATGCTGGCATTCAAAGTGACAGTTTAACCCTCTGTACCACAATTCCAGCCCCTTAAAAGATTTTTTAATCTGCATGTATCAATAGGTTGAATTTGGTATTCCAACAGATATATTGAAGTCCTAGACATTTCAGGTACCTCAGAATGTAACTTTATTCTAAAGTTGGATCTTTGCAAATGTAATTAGTTAAAATGAACTCGTATTGGAGAAAGGTGTGCCCCTAGTCCTGTATGATTGGAGGGTCTATCCTTAGGAGAAGAGAAGATGCATGCAGGGAAGGACGCCATGTGCGTATGTGGCAGCCATTGGCGTTCCCAGCTACCAGCCAAGCAACTGTAAAGATTGTTGGAGAAACTAGAAACTGAATAGAAAGGCATGCAATAGACTTTGCCAGCTCTGGAGAGAACATGGCTCGGCTGACAGATTTGGGATTCTGTCCTCCAGACTTGGGAGAGAATATATTTCTGCTGGTTCAAGCCAGCACTTGGTAACAGCTGCTCTGGAAAGCTAATACAGTTAGTAAAGAGGTTTTGAGAGAATATTACTAATAGCAAATACATATTTAATTATTTATAAATTGTATGCAGGTATTTAGTGTACAGATTGAAGCACAGAAAAAATTAGAAATTAATAGAAAATTACTCCTAGGCTAGGGTTCAGATACTCCACTTGGAAGACTGCTTTTCTAGCCATATGTAAATATTCAGGACAGCATGGTCAGACTCTGAGTTGAATTACTGAGTTTGCATTGTTCCTCTTCCACATACTAGCTGGGTGACTGAGGTCCTCAGCTTCCTTATTTGTAAAATAATTGATAATGATAGTATCTAACTCATAGGGTATCAACAGGGTTACTATTTGTAAAGCAATTGAAAATGTTCCTAACTCAGTTAAGTATGATATAAATATATTTGAAGAAAATATTATCCATTAAGAAAACGGAAATTCTTTTTGCACAAAGATTTGAAGGAAAACAACAAACAAATCCAGACAGATGTAGTTCACCTTCATGTTCAGGATCTTCTCTATAAAATAGGAAAATAAGGTTGTAAAAAATATGGGGTCAGGCTTGCAGATGTCAGGATAGTGAGCTTACTGTTATCACCAGTGCTCTGCCATGTTTTCATGATTTTGGTGGCAAGGTACAGTGTATATTTCATTAGATACATTCCACAGCACTTTAAACTTTTTAATGTTATTGCAAATGTTGCCATTTTTAAATTTTATTTTTAAGTTATTTCCTAAGATTTAGGAAAATTTTTGTATATTGATCTTTTTTCCTGTATCCTTACTGAATTCACTGTTTGTTCTAGTATTCTGTAGGTTCTTTAGATTTTTCTCATCCACAACTATGTCATCTGTTAAATATATGCCTTTTTCTTTTCCTGTCTTAGCTAAGATCACAGTACACAATTGAATAGAAGTCATATTTTTGCATTTGATTATAGAGGAACTCTGTATTTCCCCATTAAGTAAGATGAAATTGTAGATACTTTGTAGATTTTCTTTATCTGGTTGAGAAAGTTCTTTTCTGATCCTGATGCTCTGAGTTTTTTTAATGAATGATTGTTGAATTTTGTCCAGTGCTTTTTCTACATCTGTTAGGTGGTTCATTTCCCTTGAATGCAGGATTTCAGAAAATGTTTTGTACTAAAATAAGTTTAACCTTTTAATTCCATTTTCCATGAGCATTTTGAAATACCCTTGTAGTTTTAATGCTTTAATCTTTATGTGGTAAACTCCACTAAGTGATTTTGTAATAACACCAACCTTGATCTATTTAATAATGATGAATTAGCCCTTTAATATCATAAATATATTGTTAAGGATTCTCTACTCCTGTTTTCAGAAGGACTGTGTGTCAGGTTAGTATTATTTTTATTTCTAGATTATACCAGAGAAACCATCTCTTGTAGGGAAGGGTTTATTTAAATTGAGGATTTAGATTTTCAGTTTGTTTTCTTTTTTAAGATTTATTTATTTGAAAGGCAGAATTACAGAGAGATCTTCCATCTTTTGCTTCACTCCGAGATGGCTTTGCTAGCCAGGGAGGGGCCAGGCTGAATCCAGGAGCCTGGAACTCCATCTGGGTCTTCTGCAT